CTGAGTCTTTTGCTTTCATGGAGAGTGATTTTTGTGTGCAGGTTTGGTACCAATCCCTCCAGGACCTTCCAAGTGTATATTATCATGTATCTCTCTCGCCTGCATTTGAGGGAATACAGATCAAGGACTTTCAACCGTTCCCAGTAGTTTAGGTGCCTTATCATACTTATGTGTGCCGTGAAAGTTCTTTGTACACTCTCCAGGTCTGCAATGTCGCCAGCCTTGAAGGGGGCCAGTAGTGTACAGCAGTATTCCAGCCTAGAGAGCACAAGCAATTTGAAGAGAATCATCATGGGCTTTGCATCCCTAGTTTTGAAGGTTCTCATTATCCATCCTATCATTTTCCTAGCGGATGAGGAAGATACATTGTTGTGATCTTTGAAGGCGAGATCCTCTGACATTATCACTCCCAGGCCCTTCACATTACTTTTCCACTCTATTGTATGGTTAGAATTTGTTGTATACCCTGACATGTTATTAAACCATAACATGTATGTATTTAGTACAATTTACGACGTTTTCATGTATTTTATGATTTTTTCATCGTTCAACAAGTTAAGGAAGCTGTATTGTATTATATTTCCCTACAATATTTTGGGGCACCAAACATTCGCGATTTTTCAACATTAGCGAGGCTCTTGATCCCCTAACCCTCGCGAACGTTGAGGGAGACCTATATTTCTTACCTTAAATTGTGGGTAATAGTGTTTGTGAATGCTTGTGAAGAGAGTGGATATGGATGGTGTGGCCCTACTGGGCTGAGGTGGATGGTTGTTGGTTGTCAGCAGAAGTGGATTGTAGAGGTTCTGGTACTGAAGTCGATAGTTGTATTGGAGTGTGCATAAATTCTGAAATGGATCTCTGGGCTCTTTTACCCTGCAGTACATTATACAGCCGATGGTAAGGCATCATCAGCTGGTCTAGACCTCTTTTCAAAGCACTGCTTCTAGATTTGTCAGGGTTCTCTTCTGCTAGTTTAGCAGCAACATGGAACTGCTCACGTAACTGCTGCAATGTTAACTGTTTTTCTTCAGGTTCTTCTTCAACTTCTTCTGTTATCTCCCTCTCTTGTATCTGTGCATCAAGCTCTGCCAACATTTCCTCTGGACTCTTGTCTTGTTCATCATCATCTTCTAAGAGCTCATTCACATCTTCATTCATATCTTCAAAACCATCACCTGGTAATCTCCTTGCCAGCTGAACAATTTCCTGAACCTGACTCCCAAGCAAGGGGAAATCAGTGAAAGAATTAACCACAGACTGCCATAACTTTCCTCAGCCTGCATTTAATGTTGATTGAGGCACTTCATTCCATGCACTTCAAGCATAGCTGATAGCATCTGCAATGTTAAATTTATTCCAGAAGCTTGGTACTGCCAAGCTGGAATCAAATGCTAATTAGTTATATTATGTGACCTCTAGACTTTTAAACTTCTGCCAGTCCATGAAATATTACTGCCTGAACCATTATTTGTAATATTGTTTTTATTATGTGCAACTTCAGGATTATTATTCTTAAAACCCTCCACCATGACTACCTGGCATTAGTATTAAGATTAAATAAAATTGTAATACAGTTAACCACTACTATCTTCTCTAGTTTTAAGTAGTTACTATGTACTACTATTATCTGTCTAGTTTTAAGTAGTTACCATGTACATATTAGGATTAGTCTGCCCAAAATGCCCCGGCATGACAGTGGTTTTCTTTGTACTTAGCAAACCAAAATTTTAATTATACATTGTAACCTTTACAAAGACATGAACCTTTATCTTTATCTTAACCCTTTCACTGTTGGTGCTGTATAGATACGTTTTACGAGCCAGTGTTGGTGACAATAATACCCCCAAATTCTAGTGGCTTCAAATCTAGCAGGAGAAAGCTGGTAGACCTACATGTGAGAGAATGGGTCTGCATGGTCAATGTGTGCAGTATAAAAAAAAATCCTGCAGCACACAGTGCACAAAAAAAAAACCCTCTGTTTTTGGATTAAAACGCTGACTTTGAGGTGTATTTTCGTATGGTATTTATGGTTGTATTCTCGTTTTCTTGGTCTCATTTGATAGAATTGAAGATATGTTACAGAAATAGAGATGATTTTGATTGGTTTCTCGATGAAAAGTACCTTGAAATTGAGCTCAAATTAGCGGAAATGTTTGATGTTTGCCGATGTTGAAGAGTAAACAAATGACGTCATTGTCCAATACATGTCCAACTGGCCAGTTTAGTATACAGTCATGAATGGGTTGACATTATTTATACAATTATATAATAATGCAGCAGTCTGCATCTTCTATTTTTTGTGTGAATAAAAATTCAAAATGGAAAGGAAGAGTAATATAAGAGGGGCCTGGAGACGTGACTAATGAACAAAGAAAATGTGATGTTAGTGCCAGGAATGTTTGCATTGTTTATTCTGGACTATATTTTGAAATTTATGTGAAACTAGCCAAATTGCCAATTTATGACCACTTTATTGGGTAGTTGAAAGCAGTAAATGGGCGATTTCTTGTACTCAATCCATAGAAAAAATGGAGTTCTAAAGAAATAGCTATGAATTTGGTCAACTGGAGCAATGGAATTACCTGAAAATAGGGCTCAAAATGGGTGAAATCGCCAATGCGTACTTATCGCTGAGACTGCTAACTTCGCGAGAGCATAATTCCATAAGTTTTCCATCAGATTTTGTACATTTGGTGTCAGCACCATCGGGAAAAGATTCTGTCATTTCATGAGAAAAAATTATTTTTTTTTTAAATTCTTCGACACTGAGAGTGAGTTCAGGATCAGGGGTCTCGACAGTGAGAGGGTTAATAATGGCCACAAAGAGCAAAAGTAGTGATGCTGGCAATTCTTCAGAGCCTAAGAGAAGCCATGAAATGCTTCCCATGAGTGAAGAACTTCTAATTCTAGATTAATTTTGCATAATTTATCAATTAATCTTTATCACAGGTATGTATGTAAATGAAAAATGACATATGGGGTTCACTACTAGCTGCAGTTTCAGGTATCCACGGTAGATCTTAAAATGTATCCCCCTCGAATATAGGGGGACTACTGTATAATCATAATAACATTTTTTATTATATTAAAATATATACTACTTACATATTTTGTTACAGATTTTAAATGATTTATTCTTTTCAAACTGGGTAAAAACCACAAAACAGCTTACACACACATTTTATATTGCTTCCGTTTTGTCTGTATCATTACCCACAATGAACCAGCACACAAAAATGAAAATAATAGTTTAGCTAAAAATGTCATTATTTTCTCTTCAAGGGGGAATAATTTTGCAGCTTTTTTCCACAAACCTAAACATACAATAAAACCTCATTTTAATGGATTAGGGATTCCAGTTACTTAGTCCATTAAATCTGAAAATTGCCAGCTACTGTTAAGACTATGAAAAATATTCATATAATTCAGTCTTAATGTACATGCGACTTTAACCCTTTCAGGGTCGAGAGGCCCTCTCCTAAACTTGTTCTCAGGGTCCAAAATTTTTTGGAAAAAAAAGATTATTTTTTTGTATGAAATGATAGAGAATCTTTTCCCGATCATAATGACACCAAAAGTATGAAGTTTGATGGAAAACTTATGGAATTATGCTCTCGTGAAGTTTGCAGTCTCGCCGATGTTTACGCATCAGTGATTCCGCCCACTTTGAGCCCTATTTTTGGCCAATTCCTGTGTACTAGTCGACAAAAATCATATTTATCTCGCTAGAACTCCATTTTTTCTATCGAATGAGTTCAAGAAACCACCCATTTACCAATTTCAACTATCCAATAAAGTGGTTAGAAACTGGCAATTATGCCAATTTCACACAAATTTCAGAAGATGCCAATTTCCAAATAGGGTCCAGAATAAACAAGAAAGACATTCCTGGCACTAAAATAACAAGTTCTCTGTTCGTTAGTCACATCCCCCAGGCCCCTCTTATATTTGTTTTGCTTTCCACTTTGAATTTTTATTCTTACAAAAAATAGAAGATTTACTGTTATGCAGACTACTGCATTAGTGTAGAAATGGTATAAATAATATCAGCGCACTTGTGAAAGAATATTAGACTCACCAGTTGATGTGTATTGGACGCTTGGCATGATTTGTTTACTTTTGAACTTTGGTAAAAATCGAACATTTCTGCTACTTTGAGCTCAATTTCAAGGTACTATTCATTGTGAAACCAGCCAAAATCATCACAATTTCTGTAATATGTCTTCCATTCTATAAAAGGAGACCAGGAAAACTAGAATACAACCGTAAATACCACATGAAAATACAGTGCAAAGTTGCTGTTTCAATCCAAAAACACGGTCAGAGTTTTTTTTTCTCATTACGTACTGTGTGCTGCAGGACTTTTTTTTTTTACTGCGCACACTGACCACATAGACCCATTCTTTCATATGTAGGCCTACCAGCTTTCTCTTGCAAGATTTGAAGGCGCTAGAATTTAGGCGTACTAGTACGTCAATAACCCTGGTGCATAAGCCATACTAGTACGTCGAAAACCCTGAAAGGGTTAATGAACAGTTGACTTTAATTGGCACCCCCTCCCCCTGCAGTTAGTTTATTAAATCAAGGTTTACTGTATTTTATATGTAGTAGCCATAATATCATATGTTATAATAAAAGTCATCAAAATATTTGCTTTATGCATAGGCTTGGAGCTGGGAGTAGTTTTGACACTGGGTGCCAGGTGGCAGCAGATATTAAGTTGAAGTTTACTCTCAGCATCTGTGAGATCTATTGTGTACAACATGAGATACTCAGAATACTTTTTTGGTGGACAGAGGTACAATGTGACTTTGACTCTGTCAAAGCTGGATTGTGAATGGCCAGTTTGCAACCTATGCAGGTCAGGCAATAAATACCCAGTAATAGGAAAATGAAATTCGCTGAATATTACTATTTATTTTGGCTATAAATTTAAATATGTACTGTATACACTATAGTGCTTTATTATGTACAGTATTTTGTTTTTACATTTTCAGGCAAAGGTGTTACTTTTGATACAGGAGGCATCTCTATCAAACCATCAGCAAATATGGACAAAATGAGGGCTGATATGGGCGGAGCTGCGTGTACTTTGGGGTCTATTTATATAGCGGCTGCATTACAACTTCCTATCAACATTAAAGGTTTGATATTCAGGGTTTCAGAGTTGGAAGCAATTCTTGGGTTACTGGAGTCAGAGTTGGAGTCAGTAAAATGTAATTAAAGGAGTCGGAGTTGGAAGTGCCATAAAAAAAGGAGTCAGATTGGAGGGTTTTATGTGCCCTGTTGATATTTAATTAGTGAGAGAGATGTTCCTATAGGTCCCAGAGAATGCAAGAACCATGCATACAATTTCATAAAATTCTGTTAGAATAACTGAGTTTTTTTTAGATTACAGTAGGGCCCCACTTATACGGCGGGTTAGGTTCCAGGCTACCGCCGTAAAGCGGAAATCGCCGTAAAGTGGAACACCCTTTTTTTCCACTTATAAATGCATACAAACACTAGATAACAAGTTTACACTAACATATATTAAGTTAGCAATAGAACCAGGCATCAAAAAACAATAAAAAGGTACAATACACACATAGTGCACTCATTACTTACCTTAAAATATTTATAGTCTTAATCTAGGGTGAGACAAGTAGTATTTATTGTAAGAAATCAAGTGTGGTATGTATTGTAATAGCCAGGCTATCTTACCAGGCCACCCCACCCACACATACTATTCTATGATATTTAAGCATCCCAGAGCGATAAAATGTATATACAGTTCACTCATTACTTACCTTAAAATATTTGTAGTCTTAATGTAGGGTCAGGAGTAAGTAAATGAGATAAAACGAATAAATGAGAGAGAGAAAGAATGAGTACATGAGAGGGGGCAGGCGCAGTTATGTAAACAAACCAGGGGAAGGTAAGTTTTGTAAACAAACGAAATGTACACGTCTGGTTTGTGTACAAGTTACATTGTGTACAGGTTGTCTCTACATTGATACGGTAGAATTAATAAAGAAGAACACTCCCATTCTCATGTAACATCATTTTGAGAAGAAATGAAGCTCTGAGTGAAGGCAATGGAAATAAGTCACACTGACTTTTTTGGGTTATCCTAGGTTCTCTACACGTATGTTGTTATGTATGATAATCTATGTAACTGTATTTGTGTATACCTGAATAAACTTACTTACATACATACGAAAGGAATAATTTTCTACAGTTACCCCCAGTAACACATTTACTCTTATGTTAGATTAGAGAAAATGTTATTCTTGCCGTCACTTGTACAAGTTATGTGGCTCCCACATCTTATATTTATGTTTATTTATTCTATTGCGGGGTGTATTTATCATCTTTTTATGTTATGTATCGTGTTTTATATAATAATTTTGAAAAAAATATCATGGATGGATTAATGAAAATGTGTATATTACCGTAATATACGACATTTAATGAGACTCGGTATTGTTATTATCACCACTTGTGCAAGTCGTCTGCTACGACATCTCACATTTGTTTATTTATTCTACTGTGGGGTGTATTTATCTTATTTATATGTTATGCATCGTGTTTATTATATAATTTTGAAAAAAATATCATGGATGGATTAATGAAAATGTGTATATTACCGTAATATACGACATTTAATGAGACTCAGTATTGTTATTATCACCACTTGTGCAAGTCGTCTGCTCACATCTCACATTTGTTTATTTATTCTACTGTGGGGTGTATTTATCTTATTTATATGTTATGCATCGTGTTTATTATATAATTTTGAAAAAAAATATCATGGATGGATTAATGAAAATGTGTATATTAACGTAATATACGACATTTAAATGACTCGATGTATGTAAGTTTATTTAGGTACAGGTATACATAAGTATAATTATCAGAGTATATATAAAATATGAAATAACTTTTAAAAACATTTGAAATTTTGGAGTTTCCAGACAAAATGGAGAGACTTAGTGCTTACTGAGCTCATGGAGAATGTAAACAAACAGGGTGGGGCACGGTGACCGTATTAGAAAGTCAGGTGGGGGGAGCCGTATAGTGAGTTTTGGTCATAATTTGAAATGTCCGTATTAGCGGAACGCCGTAAAGCGGAACGCCGTAAAGTGGGGCCCTCCTGTACTAGTAAAAAAATAATGAAAAGATGCATAGCTGTCATTTGTAACTTGTGATAATGTTGTTAATTTTTTTTCTCTCAACAAGTCGGCTGTCTCCCACCGAGGCAGGGTGACCCAAAAAGAAAGAAAATCCCCAAAAAGAAAATACTTTCATCATCATTCAACACTTTCACCTCACTCACACATAATCACTGTTTTTGCAGAGGTGCTAAGAACACAACAGTTTAGAAGCATAATTTCATCAGTTTTCCATCAAATTTCGTACTTTTTGTTTTATTACCTTCAGAGAAAGATTCTCTACCATTTCATAAGAAAAAATAACAAAAATAATTTTTGAAAATTCTTGGACCCTGGCGTGCACTTTGAAATTTGGCCTCTGGACCCTGAAAGGGTTAAATAATGTAGTTAAAAAAAACATAGTTTGATAGGGTCACAGGTTATAGATTTGTGAGATACAGTTATTTAGTATTTATTTAGTTGTGGTTGAGTAAGTGATTTTTAAGAAGAGTCTTGAATTGATAAACAGACAGTATTTCTTTTATATTCACAGATAATGAATTACAGATTTTTGGGCGTTTTATGTGAATTGAGTTTTTACATAGTGTGAGATGAACACGAGGAACATCAAAGAGTGATCTGTGCCTTGTGTCATGGTCATGTGTTCTGTTGAGGTTGGTAAGGAGAAGTTTGAGGGGAGGGTTTATATCCGCGTTTAATGTTCTATGCATGTAGTAGGCACAATAATAAGTATGGATGTTTTGTATGGTGAGTAAGTTTAGAGTTTTGAATATTGGTGGAGTATGCTGCCTGGGGTGGGAATTTGTTATCATTCTGACTGCAGCCTTTTTTTTATTTTATTTTATTATCACACTGGCCGATTCCCACCAAGGCAGGGTGGCCCGAAAAAGAAAAACTTTCACCGTCATTCACTCCATCACTGTCTTGCCAGAAAGGTGCCCCACACTACAGTTTTTAAACTGCAACATTAACACCCCTCCTTCAGAGTGCAGGCACTGTACTTCCCATCTCCAGGACTCAAGTCCGGCCTGCCGGTTTCCCTGAACCCCTTCATAAATGTTACTTTGCTCACACTCCAACAGCACGTCAAGTATTAAAAACCATTTGTCTCCATTCACTCCTATCAAACACGCTCATGCATACCTGCTGGAAGTCCAAGCCCCTCGCACACAAAACCTCCTTTACCCCCTCCCTCCAACCTTTCCTAGGCCGACCCCTACCCCGCCTTCCTTCCACTACAGACTGATACACTCTTGAAGTCATTCTGTTTCGCTCCATTCTCTCTACATGTCCGAACCACCTCAACAACCCTTCCTCAGCCCTCTGGACAACAGTTTTGGTAATCCCGCAGCCTTTTGTTGGGTAATTAATGGTCTGAGATGTTTTGTTGTTGTTGAGCCCCATGCAGAAATTCCATAGGTGAGATATAGGGCCAGGAGGGCTGATTGTTGAACATAGTACCGTATCTTCGATAGTATGCCTACGGTCTTGGAGATTTTCTTGGAAATTTGTTGTACATGTGTTTGAAATTTGAATCTATTATCAAGGTGAATTCCTAAGAATTTTTCCTCTGTGAGCTTTGTGATAGGTGATCCGTTTATCATTATGTTAAGAGGAACATCTGTAGTTCTGTTCCCAAACTGAATGTAGTAGGTTTTTTCAATATTGAGAGTAAGTTTGTTAATCATCATCCAGGTAGATATTTTCTGTAATTCGGTATTTACAATATTGGCTAGTATGCCTGGGCTTGGGTGAGAGATGACGTATGTAGTGTCATCTACAAATAGTGTGGGTTTGAGTAGTTGTGATGCATTTGGTAGGTCGTTTATGTAAATGAGAAAGAGAAGAGGGCCAAGGACACTTCCCTGTGGGACACCAACTGTAATTGGCTGTGAAGAAGAGTTTTCTCCATTTGTGTACACATCTTGGCTTCTGTTGCTGAGGTATGACTTTAGGTAGTTGAGGGAGTGCCCTCTTACACCATAGTGTGATAATTTTATGTGCAGCAAATCATGGTCAGCTGTATCAAAAGCTTTACGTAAATCAATGAAGATCCCCAATGGGACTTCTTTTTTCTCGAGTGCAGTGTACATTTGTTGTAGCACGTGTATAATAGCATCATTTGTATTTTTATTAGGCCTGAACCCAAACTGACAGGAGTTGAGTATGTTTTGGGAGATGAGGTAGGAATAGATTCGCTTATCGGGGTGACCCTCGCTATTTTGAGATGTGTAGGGAAGGTAGAGGATTCGATGGATTTGTTAAACAGTGTTGAAATTATTGGTGACAGCACTTGTGAAGCTTTTTTGTATATAAAGTCTTGTTCTTTAGTGTGTTGATAATAAGGGAGACTTCTGTTGAGTTGGTCGGAGCTAGGAACAGTGTATTCGGGTAGGTGCCAGTGAGCTTGGGATTTTACCCGCAAGGTTTTTTCCTATGGCGGAGAAGAAAACATCGAGTCTGTTTGCTGTTTAAGTTGGTGGGAGTAAGGGTTCATCTGGTTTTGTTAGTTTGATTGTTCTGTTTCCTGATATCTTTTTTGTTCCTAGAATTTCAGATAGGGTTTTCCAGATCTTTTTTATATCATCACCTTTTAAGTTGGATAATTTGTTCTCATAATACAATTTTTTTGCCCTTCTTATCAGATTGGTTAGGATAGATGAGTAACGTTTTGTTTGGTCTCTGGTTATGTGACCCATTCTGTACTGTTTTTCATATAGGTGCTTTATATTTATGGATTTGAGGATGCTGGGTGTTAGCCAGGGACTGTTCAGTCTCTAAGCTGTGATCTGTTTAGTTTTTTTTTAGGACAGTGCTTGTTATAGAGGTTTTTGGTCTTTTTTAGAAAATTTTTAATACATTCATCAGTATCTGCATAGATTTCTAGCTCAGTTTGCCAGTTGATGTTTGTCATTGCTGTTGTGAAGTTATTAATGGCTGCCTCATTATGAAGTCTGAAGGCTACTTTAGTAGTGTCTTGGGGTAATTTA